TTATTAATATTTTATTATTTAATTATAATTGATTTCAATTTTATCAGTGACAAAATAAGTTTTATCATAATTATGTTAACTTTGATGTTACTTAGTTTAGTAATTATTGTAACTAAAAAAAATTATTTCTCAGTTCATTTATTTTTATTAATTATGTTAATATTTGTTTTCCTATAAAGATTGATATTTTACTGATTTATTTATACTTTATTTTATATGGGACCTAGGTGTCCATTCACCCTGAATCTCGACGAATGCGATAAACAAAAAAAATCAATTTCAACCGATGACGTCTCTGGCATAATACCAGGAGACATATCTAGCCAGAGCACAATCTGCACCAACTCTTCAGAGTTGTGTGGCAGTCCCACCATCCCACCTGGCGCAGTTAGAGAATTTTTGGCTACAAATGTAAGCCAGGAAAAACAGCTCTGAGGGGCACAGGCAGCCACAATGGCCACCTTCTTGGTCGTCGCGTCCCCAACGCGCTTGCCCACATGTTCCCGTCCAACGATGAGCGGTTGGTTATCCGGGGAACGACCCGAAGTCGAGATATTCTTTGGTCAGCGGCGTACCTTCCTCCATCACAGTCTCCGTACTCCGTACATCGAGACTCCCAGGGTAAGAATCAAGCAACCCGTAGCCAGCTCTTCATCATCAGGAATAATAATAAATAGCCTGGAAGTTTCACCACTAGCGCTTTTTAGGGCCATTACAAGTATTTACGTTCCCTACTTAACCATCAATTTCATCGGTTCTTTTTAGAAGCCACTTAAGTGTAAACTACCTTGCCAACAAATACATTTTTACTACCATTTCCGGAAGCGATTCGTCGACTAAAAGACTATATTAACTAAAGACGGGCACTACTAAACCAAGTCAGCCATTCACTAGCAGACGTCACCTGCTGAGTTGTTCTTTACAAGGCTGGAAAACCCGGTGACCGACGACCCTATACTACCCTCTTGACTCTAAGCATTCAACCAGGAATTACTGATCCTCTCCAAGGTCTGCGCTCGAAAAACCTATAACAGCTATGTAGGAAAAAAACTTGAGCCAACGGGACAGCCTCCACTGGACAAGTATCACTAACCAATCTCCCCATCTAAGATCACCAAAACAACTGAATCTGCAACTAAAAAAGGTGC